AAAGGAGGAGAACGCATCCCTCGATGTGCTTCGAAGCCGATCGCTCTCGCTCTTACCTAGGTACTCAGTTTACACTACAAACTACAAACTTGCCACTACTCTTCCGAAGACCCACAGTAGGATCCCTTGTGAGGTCTGTTGACATTAGGAGGACCGCCAAGGCTAAGGAGCAACAGATTTTATGAGGAGTTTCATCGAATGCTGAATCAGTCCTATCGATCCATTTTAGTTTTTCTCATTCATAGAGAATCAGGAGAAGCCTCTGAGTTTTCATCATCTTACAGCAGCTCAACATGATCAAGACTATACGTTGCAGATCGGGCACACTGGCAACGACATACCAAGAACCCTTCGTAGCAACCGTTAGTATTCTACGCAGACAATAAGTCTCTAGAAATGCCCCGCAGAGGGGACGTCTAAGGAATTCAGGAATACCCACTGATGTGTACGGAAAGACTTGAACACACTACGGCTGATGCAGAGCATCGGAGCCGGACAACACGTTCCGATTCGGTTTAGCACTTGTGACAAGAAATGCAATCAACGCAAGTCACAACGGACAAGCGGATCGTCGTAGTGTGCCCTCACCTCATTTGATCAACCAAGGGTATAGGTGATAAGAAGTGTGAGACTTTGTACGGAAGCTATGTTCAAATCGATTAGCTGCACTGTAATCCAAAAAAGAATCGATCGGAATGGCGGGCGAGATTAGTCAGCGCAGAATGGAACATGCAACGCTACGAATGGTTTGTCACTTGGCTGCCCTCAAGGCACTGTGCGTGGGTCGCATGTTTAGCGATGAGTTTCGCTCTTCAATATCGAATTAGTCGAGTTCAGTTGGGCTGGAGTGAGTGAGAGGTAGTCGGACATGAGTGGTAGTGGGTGAGAGGTAGTCGGACATGAGTGGTAGTGGGTGAGAGGTGGTCGGACATGAGTGGTAGTGGGTGAGAGGTAGTCGGACATGAGTGGTAGTGGGTGAGAGGTAGTCGGACATGAGTGGTAGTGGGTGAGAGGTGGTCGGACATGAGTGGTAGTGGGTGAGAGGTAGTCAGACATGAGTGGTAGTGGGTGAGAGGTAGTCGGACATGAGTGGTAGTGGGTGAGAGGTGGTCGGACATGAGTGGTAGTGGGTGAGAGGTAGTCGGACATGAGTGGTAGTGGGTGAGAGGTGGTCGGACATGAGTGGTAGTGGGTGAGAGGTAGTCGGACATGAGTGGTAGTGGGTGAGAGGTAGTCGGACATGAGTGGTAGTGGGTGAGAGGTAGTCGGACATGAGTGGTAGTGGGTGAGAGGTAGTCGGACATGAGTGGTAGTGGGTGAGAGGTAGTCGGACATGAGTGGTAGTGGGTGAGAGGTAGTCGGACATGAGTGGTAGGGGGTGAGAGGTAGTCGGACATGAGTGGTAGTGGGTGAGAGGTAGTCGGACATGAGTGGTAGTGGGTGAGAGGTAGTCGGACATGAGTGGTAGTGGGTGAAAGGTGGTCGGACAGCCTCTCAGACAGCAACGGTCTAATAAGTGTGCCGGTTAATGCTGTAGCCATCATCCCCGGCTAGTGATGACTCAACACGCTTCCCATATACAAAACAGTAATGATGCTTATCGGAATTTTCCAAGTCCTTCATGAACACGATACACTCTCTCTCATACTCTTCCGCGGTGTTGCATCCCCTTCAATGGTAGTGCGGTGTAGTATCCTCAGACCAACTCTTGAGGCCGGGTCTTGAGTACCAGGGACAGCGTAGTGCGCCAAGGCCAAGTTGTCGAGAATTCCAAAGTCGCCTTCCTCCCACTTCATCGCGTACCTGCATAGAATCTTCTCACTCCTAATTTTAAACACTAGCACGATAAGAAGCATCGAACATTACACGAGGTTGCGTGTCCGCGACTCATCGATGGCCTCAGTTATTTCTTTCTGTATCACTGCTGGTGGTAAAATGTCATCACTACGGGGCTGCTGACCAGGGCTGAAGTCCATAATCCAGCCAGCACAAAAGGGCTGATCAAAACAGCGGCTTAACGCATGAAGGAGGTTGAGGGCCTACCCTGCCACAATGAAAGACCATAGTCGTGTGACCAGTAGTTGGGTGCTTGTAGACCAGAGGGTGTACCACACTACCACTATCGCTGATGAACCATGCCCTGATGAAGCCACTGCTGAGACGCTGTGATCACACATTACCTGTCCCAGCGTTCACGCCGCTGAGCATCTTGTGATTCGAAGAGCTCTTTAAGAGGGACTAGTTCTGTAAAGCCGGTACTGCTGGCCTTGGGAAAATACATAGTTTGATACCGGAAGGGCCTGATGTGGTTCTCTCCAGCAAGCTGTGACTCGAGTATCCCTACCGTTGTAGGAATGTCCCATCAACATGCCAGCCGCTCCGTCCCACTCTGGTGCACCCTACACCCTCATCATTTGATACCCGGAAGATATCGGGATGCGGCGACTTTGGGTGTTTGTAAAAGGTCGACTCTATTGGTCCCAATCGACATGAGAATGCGACCTAGCGAGGCAGACCGTAACACTATTCACTTCACGAGAATATTGACAGTTATCTACTTATAGTACGATCGTCGGTCTAGTATTATATTGCAATACGCTAATATATATTATATATATGTGTATAGATGTATATATTGTGTTCTACTAGAACACGAAGACTACGGAAAGCATCCTAAAGAGCGCTGACAGTGCTAATGAGCACAATTCGATTGTCACCTGCCGCTCCCCACTGAGGTCCTTTTGCTTCCTAAAGAGGAGGAATCTGTACTTGTGAACGTCCGAACGGATCCTCTCGATGAGCTCATCATCAGCACTGGCCGCATCTTCAATGGAAAAGCCATCATCGACAACTCCACCAAATGTAGGGGTGAGTGGCTCTACCGTATAGGATGTGTTTCTGGTGGACATGTTAGTCAGCCGACGTGAAACTCCCCGGAACATAGACTACGACACTCATGCACGATATACTCCGTAGTGTGCGGAATATGCGGAATATTTCTGATGCCTGTAGTCATACATATCCCCACGGAATACTCTGTACCAGTGTTGGAATATATGTTCGTTTTCCTCAGCCGAGTCCAGGATTTTCCTCACTAGTTATACACAAATTCGGGTAGAAGCGTACAGAAACCAATGAGGACTTCCTCTTTTTTTCCAAGAATTTCCACAAATGTCACCTACACATCTAGTTGACCATGTGCATATTTTCCCACACCGTTCGGGAATTCCTCCAACAGTTACTTCCCACAACCCCAGCATAGACTGGAACCCCAAAACGCTTGCAGACTCCCGTCCGGGATTGTTTTCAGGTTCTGTCCATACTATCAAATCAACAAACTCAACTTCCATATCTCTGTCATTCGTACTGAACAGATGCCGTATTTCCAGTTGACATTTTCAATGCCGTCTCTGTGCGTCTGCGTGCGGCTGCAAGTGTACGCAGACACGAATTCAGGCATACAACTTTTCCGTAATGGATCCTCTTTAAATCTCAAGTTCCAGGCGGACACTACTAAGCGTCCCCGCCGAAATCTCAGAATCCCCACCGCTCACGCACTAACACCTAAAAATTGCGACCTATTGTTACCCATAATAATAATAAGCTCAATCCAATAACCTTGAGATGTTTCCACCCATACGACTCTACCGAACGTTCTTGACTATTAACGCAAGTGTAATGTTACTACGAGAAAATATAGCCGATGAGATAGGCAATACGAATCTACTCATGAGACTCGTTTGCCGTGCAACACAAATGGTCGCAACAAATCGGGTGGGTACCGCAAAACCCACCAATATGGTATTTGCTCCACGACGAGATCCTTCGATATTTACTTACTAGTAGAAGCACTCATTTTGTCGGCAGCGGTATGATAATACTTGTCAGCAGTCTCCTTAGCATCAGCAGCGTACTTGCCAGCAGCCTCTCTTGCACCAGCAGCATACCTGTTAGCGGTCTCCTTAGCATCAGCAGCATAAACACCAGCAGTCTCCTTAGCCTTGGTAGCTCTGTCCTTCACATCTGCAGAGTATTTATTGGCGACATCTTTAGCATGGGCAGAGTATTTAGCAGCAGTCTCCTTAGCCTGAGTGGTGTACTGCTGGACCGTATCTTGACCTCTCTTCACAGAGGTCTGAGCCGCCTCTTTATTGTCAGAAAAAACCTTCTGGATGCGCTCAACAAAAGCTACCCACCACTCATTAGCCTTGTTGCGAATCGCAAGAAAATCATCTTCGGCAATTTGCAGCGCCGGAAATGTATCCTTTACATACGAAATTGTAGTCTGGAAAGACTTCAAGTAGGCGTCGAAATAGTCCATCACATTAGCATAGACCTTCTTGAAAGACATACGAATATTGCTACCGAAATCATACGCCTTGGTAGTAGCGCGAGCACGCAGGCGAGAACACACGGTTGAACCGAGGGACAGAGCACGGTTGAAAGGGCTCACTGGACTTGAAGACGATGGTGCTGCTTGCTCGGAAGTAGATGGCTGAGGCTCAGGGAGGTAACGATCAACTAGCTCCTCACCTTTACCCAGGAGGGAGTCAACGAAGGAGTAGACACTCCCCAAAGCGGCACTGGTTGAGCGACTGACCTTTTTCCCAGTTTCCGTCTTCTTGAAATCATCGACCATCTTCTGAGTCTTAACTGTAGCGCTCTCAACGGTACTATTGATAGATTCCGGCATGTAGTTAGGCATACTCACTGTAGACACAAGTCAAAGCAAAGAAAACCTTGCTGAAATGAGGAGACATCAACTGCTCGAGCGACACACAACAATTATGCACGCACACGCAAATCCACCACAATCGTCGTCTGTCCCCACAGGCTTGGTTGTACCGAGATTTACCCTTTTCGGTAGATGTAAACTTATCGTCATAAACCAGTGTAAATACGATACTCAATTATCTCTCGTAGATTCAACTTCATCCATATTATGCCTATTCGTATATCGTATGACAATGCTATCGCAGATGCAGGCATCTCTCAGTCCCTTTGGACAGTCACTCGAATTCTCCTTACGAAACTATAGGTACCAACAATGCTTTCTGACGAGACTATCTTGTTAAGGATACGCAACGTGAATAGAGCAGCTTGTAACAAGTGAAGTTTACTCAGTAGAATGACGTATTCAGGTCACGGAAGTATATGAAAGAATTGTCAACAGTCAAATCACGGAATTATTGATAACTATGAACGAATTCAGTTTGCCAGGGCAATGACTTCACGAGTGAAATGTCCGAGACTCTACTCGGAAAGATAGTTGATAGATTAATGTAGCATCACGGATACGGCGAGATGATCGTGATGGTTGGAGTCAACTCTTGCGCTGTCATTCGTCAGAAAAGTGTGTTATACGCAACTCCATGGTAATCAATTTGGTCACCAGATATAATAGAGTTGTCTACGAAGATTGGCAGATACAACAAACTCGGAGCTCTGGATTCTGGTCAACCTTCAAGATCCTGGGTCGTAAACTACACATCAGCAAGGCTGAAATAATAAAATTAAGTTTCCGTCTCTTCAGAAGAAGTGGAAGTAGACTGGTGAGCGCATGAACGCGGTCACACCTGAGCAGCATCTATCCGAAGAACGCTGCAGCACTATGATGAGACTATCTAACCCTGTTCCCAACTTCGGGACCCCAAGGCACCGTGAATGCGATCCCAGGAACAATTCCAACAACGTTGTGAATGTTGAGATCTCATGAAGAGGGGTCACTCAAGAATGATGGGTGACGTCCTTCGTCGGCGTTCCATCCGCATCACACACATTCCCCTGGGTCGCGTCTACTACTTGATTTTGATTTAGGTAGTACTCGAAACAGTGTAGTAATACTTGTGTTGATCGACACTAACGCAAACACGATGAATGCTCGTATCTCCGAAGAGATTAGAGGAGGGTAGCCTGTCAGCATCCTCAATAGGGCCATAAAAGTCCACAGATAAGTTCATCTTCAATTACCAACTTACTAGCAGTAAATTGTACATAGGCGGCATCATGTACTCAAATAGGCTCCCAGGCTCTCGGCAACTCGCCGGATGGAAGGACATGCTGTCTCGGGAAAGGGTACGCAAACTCAACGGAGCGTTGCGCATACTATTACCCCGTTGAAGAGCGCTCTGTGTTTACGCTGAAAGTTCCGTTGGACTTGTCAGATCCGGTATGCGAACTTCTTTATAAGGACCACGCTGGAATTTTCGGCAAAGAAATTCTTAATTTCTACACCGAGGCGTCGTGTGCGACATGAAGTTCAAATTCATATCGCACTGGATGCCTCAGAGTAGAAGGGCATCACAGCTTTTAGATGATCGAGGGTGAACGTAGCAACAGGAGGATGGATCTCGGTGGTTCGCCCATCATGAGGCTCTCCTCGTCGAAATAGAACCAGCCTCACATGACGACAGCGCTGACCTTCATCGAGATCCGCGCCAAGCACAGTGTTGCCATACCGAAGCCAGTGATGATCATAATGTGTTCCTCTCCAACTAGACGAGCTTCACTCCCAAGTTCCTCATCGAGACGCTACCTCAAATGGTGAGAGAGCGGTCAAAGTCCGACCTAGGATGTCCATAGAATGGTTGCCGGAGCACCAAAGATCGTTCGCCTTATGCACTTGCCTATATAGCGGTACTCTCAGGAGACGCTAGCGAAGCGACTACGTTATTCATTCTATTGGACGACGGTCATTTGACTCCGTATGCCGCTGCCCTACAGAAACATACGAATCGAATTAGTCGTGAACGGAGACTCTAGTATTGGACCTAGGATTACTATACAGCCCAGGTAACCTAACTAGACACGAGAACCTCATGCAAAAAAACAGGAAACCCACCAGAGCAAGTTTTTACTCCCTGAAAAGCAGTTTCGAATTGACTCACACTAGACACAACATGAGCACTCACGTCCCGAAGAAACTCCACTAAGAGTAGCATCCCTCTAGGGCCCCTTTACTCAAGAGCGGTGAGGATATCAGAGTCACCGGCATCAAGGATGGCCATGCAGGAAACGCGGTAGAACCTACGGCAGGCGGTGCCGAGGGCGTTGTTGTCACCGACGTAGTGATGGACACCAGTCTTCGAGAGCATGGCGTAGTACTCGATCTCGGAGCGACGGAGAGCAGGGCAGTTGTTCGACACGAGGACGAGCTTGGCGCTACCGGAACGGATGGCCTGAGGGATCCGGAATAGTCGAAATAGATGATGCAACGACACTCCTACCTTCATAGTGGACCTCCAACCAATGGTGTACTTGCCAGACTTGAGAACAAGCTGCAAACCAGCGTTAACGGACTCATGAGCTTTAGTCTGAGGGGAAAGGAGAATGATGATACTGTTCTAATAAGAGAGACCACGTAGTTGGAGTTAACTAGACATACCTGCTTCTTGGACACCATTATCGAGATGCTTCAGGGGTGCTTCCTGAAAAGTAACATCTTATAATAGTGTCATCCACAGGGTGTAGCAACACCAATACGGAGGAATCAGTTATTACCAGCAAGGGTTCTTGTGGAGGTTTAGTGAGGGGCTCGCGCGAGATTCTCTCAGAGCTATCGATCACGCGATCGATTTAACGAATTGATTGCAGGGACTTATACAATCTTGCTTTTTCGCATTTACTCAGCGAGATGCTCTCCATTGCTCGTATTTGTCCTTGCCTCCGACTGGAGCCCCCTCTCGGTGCTCCCCCCAGTGCCCATAAGTCAACTCGAGATGAAACACCTCCACCCTGTCAGCGTGCTGCTGCCGAGACTGTTGACTCTGGCAACGTTCAGTAAGCCCATACGGCGTAACTTTAGGGGCTAGATGTTTTCTTAATGGTACTTGTTAGCGTACTGTAGTGAGCAGTAAGTGCCGAACCGCGGCTAGCACAGTATCTTCCAGTGTTAAACACTGTCGCGCTCTTGTCTAGATCAAATAGTTGTTGACAGCAAGGCACTCGTTGCTTCCACGGTGTCACGCTGATCACCGAAATTGTCTGCCTAATCCCTCACGTGCAGGCCTTCTTTGACGGACGGTCGATCATCAGGTCTCATCCTGAAGTCGCTATCGAATCATATACCAGCGGAACCGACGAAACTGGAACATTGATTGAGTCGGTCACCACCACGGAATCCGTCTGCGTGGCCGAAGATCTCAGGATGATGTCTTCAAGGTACGGCTGAGCTGCACACCCCTCAGCATTCAGTCTTTGCATCAGTATCTCCGATCTCGAGCAAGACTCGTCATTGAAGACTAAAGTATCTGTTCAAATAGAGAGGGAAATCACGACCGAGGATGGCACCACTGCTCCTGCGACCGCATGCTCTAGCCCTTCTGTCGGTGATCGGATGAGAACTCTAGGCGAGGACTTGCAGCACTCAGAGGAGCCTTTTGGGTTCTTCGTTACACTTACTAATCCGAGAACGGAATCAGATGGGGAGGAGGAGTGTGAGGAAGGATTGTTGGAATATGCGGATCAATACGGTGATCCAGAGAAGGCAGATGTACATGTGGGCGTCTTTTCCGCTGGTGCCGCCTCATTTGGTTATCATCACGCTCGACTACTGCAAACTCGACTGGCGGGTATCATCATGACGGAGCCTCGTAAGCCGTCTTGGAAAGCTCTCCTAGAAAATGATGTCTAGTACTTGGTATGCTATTTATAATTCATGACGATTCTCATGGAGGTATCCATCAACATATATGTTGTGTTGTGGTAGAATGAAGGATGGCATTCCTTTTAGTACACGTTCGATATGGCCCATCTATCGTTGCTAGTGAGAGTAACGGTAATTCTGGGCATCATCACATGTGCATCAGGATGGCTTGGAACGGCAGCTACTGGCATTCTTCACTATATTCCGCCTGAGGCGCCGTCATACTCGTTCGAGTCAGGGCAAGTGATGGCTCATGTTGGGCAGGTAGAACTGCCTCGAGCTGACGACGTAGAGGGTATACAAATGGCTGCTAGCCCGACAGCTATTTTTGTAATTGCTATTGTGGCGGCATATTGCAGTGACTTGTTCTTTGGAGAGAACTTGACAACATCAGCATCATCATCATCGTCATCAACTCTATCGTCTCCAACTGCTGTCAGCGCGGTTATGTCTCTTCCTGCCGAGTCCATGGCTCACTCTACTGCTAGCACCTGGTCATCGTATGATGATCCTTCGACGAGTGTTATCATGCCTGCCTAAGGATAAGGTAACTGCTGCAGCAGCAATTTGCACAAGTACACTAAGTAATATTGATACTGTAATGAAGGCTGTTGTTAAGGAATCTAACGTGCCTATCATCATCGAATCACCTAGCCATGCGTGGCTATGGAGATCGTTCATCGACTTCTCCTCTCTCTCTCTCTCTGATGATGATGATCATCTCGTCTAGTCGGGTCATCTATCTTCCAACACAATGAGCCAGTGAGCTCATACTAACTACTGTCTGCTGCCCCGTTATCTGTTTCGTCATTCTGCTATATGTGTCACATCTCGTATAAGATTGTATAAGACGGTCTTTGTATGCATGATGAGCTTTATGAAGCCTATTAAGCCGTAGGATATATGGCTATGGTAAACTACCTCATTTAAAGTTATCGCTATCGTGCATGTCTCAGCGCCGGATTCCTTTTTCCGACTTCCAGCCACACGGTTATCTGTCACTGTCATTAGCCCTTTACGTATCGTCAAAGCGTTTCATGACGGTGATTCTTCAAGCGTGGGCTGATGATGAGGTCCTGGATTTTCACAGTCAGATGTCGAGAGAGTCTGTCATGTGACATGACTCATGCCGGCCATCCCTCCCTAGTTACAGGGTCACTCCTCGATGTCGTCTTTGTATTTTGTCCAAGTTGTTCGAGCACGACGGTTGTGAAGATACGAAGCCTAGATTTGTGGAGCCTCAAGGTGTTGCCGGTTGGTGATGATATTAGCAGTACTATTGATACACTGTTGTTGCATCTAATACTAGAGTTCACCATCCTCGATCGCCAACGAACTGTCGCTTCGAGGGATTGGAGCTACGGAGCCCATCCCTCGGTTTCTTTGTAACATATATCACCCTATATTCCATGTCGTGTTTTGCGTTGATTTAGTCATCTGGGATAACCAATAAGGGCGACCTTATGATTACCTTGAAAAAGTGGTTCAATCGCGACGGGTAATACTCGAATGACTCATCAAGGCTACATCTAGGACTGAGACAAAATTCTCGCCTCTCTACAGTGTCTGCGGGCATGGCGATAACCAACGATTGAGAATCTCTGTGATTGGTGACACTGAGGATCCATCACCTCAGAATTCCAACTGATCTTCCATCATCACTTTCAGTGCGCAGGACTCCCCACGATCACTTGTTCTGATTTGGCCTCACCCTGAAAGGGATAGATCAAACCTGTAGACCAGCCATTGATTGGTAACAGCCCTAGCCGTGAAGTAACTATCGGCTGCATAGATTTGTCATAACTGCCGAGTTAAGCTTGTTGTCGGTGTGAGCTGTTGAAGCTGCATATGCTTACTGGTCCTGATTGTCCAGCCGTGCAGCCAGACTATTTACCAGGCAGTGGTGTTTTTTCTCTCGAGTTCACGGCGTGAGTGCACTCAGGTGAAAGCTTTGGAGAAGATTTGAAGAGATCACCTATGCAGTGGAGTAATGGACCATCTCATTCGTCGGCGGCTCGTATTAGTGTTGCGTTTCTATGTTGGCTCGACTTTGCGTCAACTCTGGTCAGTTGAGACTCTAACTCGAACACTGTGAATAATGAAAACGACAACGATCGTCACTGGTTAATCGTCCACATAGTCAAAAAGTCCTTCGAATAATCTATCTGCACTGTCCTCGCCACTCACCCTGCCTCGTGACGAGTCAACAAGGGACACGGTGGGAACTGGAGGCTCGTCGGGGGTGTTCTGGTCGGCAAGAAGAACTTCTTCGACGCTACTCAAGTGTTGCCATTGAACTGAAGACGGGGAAGGGAAGTTCAGCCAAGGCAACCACTGGGTGTTTGGCATATCGCTTCGAAAAAGACGGCAGCCGATGTTCCCACGAGATTTACTTCTGTCATCGCCGCCGGCTTGATCCATCACGCTTGCTCCCTTCTCTTGTCGTACCGCCTCCTCATCTCTCAATTCAGCCACACCTTCCTCTCTAGCCTCGAGAAGCTTCCGTGCAAACGCGTCCTCTGCCAATACATTACGAATCCAGATGCACTGACGGCTCGAGGTTGGTGCCTGGCGTACCCACCAAATTCGCCAGCACGCCCGCGATCGAGAGTGCTGTTAGTCGCCCGCACCCACGGCGCTGACAGCAGTTGCGCCACTTTTTCTCTCTCGTCTGCCCTCACTTTGAGGGAGCCCACCGCCTCGGAGGGAATGCTAATGATAGAACCGATGTCGCCAAAAACCAGCCGAAAAGAACGGCGTTCACTCTGATGGCTGCATCGCTTCGAATGAACGACTGTGTGCTGTCTTTCGCTCTCGTTGGTCCTGCCTCGAAGCCATGTCCCTCAGATTGGCCATCAGGCAACCTTTGGCTAGAATTCGATCCTGCGAGGATCTGCGCTAGCTCACTTTGTGAAGAGATCGATGTTCCCTGTGTCATGTTGGACCCATCAGGAGTGGGAGCCGGCTCTTCTTTACAGACATCCAAGACGCCTGCGTGCGGTGGAACGGAGTCTGGGTCGTGCTGGCTACGATCAAGAAATCGAGTTACATGGAGTCTTTCTTACCCACCTAAGACATCCATGGTCGCCAAGATCGCCCAAACTTGTTGTTGTTTCTTCACTCGTCCACGCACCCGCAGACGTTGTTTCCACTCCTGTTACGCTAGATGGGACATTCCCTATGGTGTTGTTCGTAGCCTCTGGCATATCATTGGCAGCTTCCGTGATAAGGAACTCTGGACTAAGTCCGGGAGACTTTGTGAGAATCTGCTTTGAGTGTAGACTGGCCTTCAGCTGCTGTGGCGTGATCCGTGGTCGGGCCAATGATGGGCAGTCGACCGATGGTCTCATCTCCTGCACTATAAAACAGGTAACTACTGTACAGGCAGCACTCGTTACATACTATGTAACTTGGCCCTATGTAATACATAGGGCCAAGTTCTACTCGTGCTACCACTCATACACTCTCACTATTGATGGAACAGGAAAGCACTCCTACGACTCCGATGTCCACCTCCAGGAGAAGTCAGAGATTTGAACAGTAACCTCATGGAAACATGCTCGCCTGCTCTTATTTTTCAAAAGTTCTGAAGTTCTCGGCTCCTGGTCGTATTTTCATCGGCACTACGTGCAAAGCGAATAGCATCAGTGCGTATCGAGTTTTTCAGTTATTCACAACGACAATAACAGGCACTGTGCGTTCAATTGGGTCAAACTGAAGACCGTGGGCCAGAAAACTCATCCAGGTTTCGAGTTTCGGGCACACAGCATCGGTATAAATCGTCATATTAATTCCCAGTTCCATCGTCATATCTGCCTAGTTAGGACGCTCGCTGTCCTTTAGGTAGTAAAGAATGGACGTAGCGTTCTCGAGCTCTGTCGAGCTGAATCGTAGAGAAGTACTGGTCTGGAAGGGCTGGCACGCGGAGCGAACTGGTAGATCACTTCATCATACATATCCCTTCTAGGCAGAGAGGCAATGAAGGTCGGTGGTAGAGGCTGCTGTAGCGTGATCCCAAATTGGCCGATACGTTGAGACTGTGTCGGAGCTCTGACTAGTATATGAGGAGGAGTTTATACGGTGTGGGCATGGTTTGCAGCGCAGAAAACGGTGTATGAATGATTCCTGATTTCACAGTGCAGGAATCCTATGTTCCTAGCATTGGCGAGCACATTTAGTGCCTATAGTCACGATAGAGATGACGCCGAATATTCCTCAGAAATTCACAGATGAGCCGAAAAAATACGGTGAAAGCGTAAAGAAAGGAAGACCTGTCGCGGAGTGCCAAAATCCTGCCTATAGTGAGGCTTCGTCTCGTATATCTCTCCGACCTTATCATCATCGCCATCGTTCCCTTTGGTCTTGCAAGGAGGGCAACAGTTACCCGTGAGGTTAGTGCGTGGGGAATTCTGAGACCTACTCGAACTTGCAACTCGAGACAATAGCGTCAAGAAAGGTTTCATGTGGTTGTCGAGGTGTACAAACGACAATGCATTCAATCGATAAGACTCTGAATTCGGTTGATGACGAAAGCTGGCGGTCGCAGTGGGATGGTCGTCAGCCAGTTGAGTAACGCATCCTTATAACACCCTTCAATACATTTGATAGAAGCTTCTGGAGGGGCTTCAGCTTGTGTGAATATCCACCGAAGAACCGTTGCTCTGTGGAGGCCGCGTTCAACGTCAGGGTTCTTCCAAACCTCAAGGAGCTTGGCATAGAACAGCTCTGCCACAATAGACGCTGTCCGACGAGTGTTGTCGGACATTGTGGTGAACAAAGCCGGTGGGAGAGTACGTATACCAGAGTGGTCTCGAGCGTAGCGAAGGATCTCAGCTTCGGGCTTGTTATCAGCATACCAGTTGAGGAGGCGCTCATTTGACAACAGCGTCCAGTAGAGGCGAGGTTCAGGCCAGTACTTCGTTTTCCACGTCATGATGTGCCTTGGATCGAGCAGACCGCCACAGTGCAATAGGAGCCCTGGGCGGATGTCTCCTGTTCGCAGTAACCCTGGCAGTGTGTCGACGAGGAACTGCACAGCAGCTTCCATCTCCTGTCTGTTCTTCCCATCATCGAGGGCTCTCGTGTGACAGAAAGCTTCAGTGATTGCGCGTGACAAATCCCAGGCCACCTCGACTGTTTTCGGCGAGAGGCGTACTCTGTCTAGCCACGTCCGAGGAGGAGTTAGCCTTCGAAGGACTCCTTCTTCTAGTTTCCCAGAGGCAGGTAGCTTGCTGATCAGACGGTAGAGATCCGCGTCGTCTACCTTCTCCCACAGCCTTGTCCCGTGACATCGCTGTGGATAATCGCGGATGATGATTTCTAGTAGCGAGTTGGCCACTTGTGGCGATCCAGCGCTCCATTGCTCCAGATGCATGAACAGCGAGTTCTTGTCGCATCCGTTTTCCAACAGGAGTTTATAGTAGACCTCAACTTGCAGCGAGTGGGTTGGAGTGAACGAGTCACTGACGGCAATACTGCACCCCCCAGCACTCATCATAGCTCGACAGGCATAGAGGATGGCGCTCTCGGGGAATCGATCACTCCTGGTGAACAAAGCAGACGGCTCTGATGGTTCGAGCACCCCCTCCTCTGAAGGTCGATGATAGGACACCACTGGCTTGGCTCCACTCACAGCTAACCACGGCAAAATGGTTGCCAACTTCATCTCCGCCGGCGAGCCGATCATGAGGCACTTCCCACACACCACCAACAGGCCACCAGTGAGGCGCTCGCCCAGCGTGGCATTCTTAAAGCGAACATCTCGAAGGACTTCCTCCTCGGAGACCTCAATAACAGCCTGCCCAAGACCGAGTGGTAGGGGTAGGTCGAGAGCACTCCATAGAACGCGAACCCGCACTAGGGCCGCCAGAGTGAATACCGTGAGGGCTCTGGCGTTCTTGACCAAGGCGGCCGAGATCGACTCGGATATCTGCCTACACACAGCTAACAGAATTACGATGCCCATGTCGATGGTAGCAGTTCCGGAGTTCAACTCCTCAATCACCGTGGCCGCAAGCGTACCACACCGATCTCCATTCTGGGTTGCCGTGCCACTCGATAGTAGAGCCATAAGTGCAGCTATACGAACAGCAGGTGTCTTTGAGCACCCATCGCGAGCTAAAATCATCAGCTCCTCGTCCGGGATGATACCGTGTGAGCCGTCCTTAACAATCCGTCGTATCTCAGGGTCGCTCGCTTCCACGATGTTCTCCCTTACCCACTGGGTCGGGCTGGCGGAGCATAGAAACTCGAATAGCTTCCACTGCTGCAGTATGGTAGTAGTAACCGATATGCCCTCATTGCTGGCCCGCTTGCTAGTTGTTGACATCGATCGTTTCAGCCTCTTCGCTTGGCCCTGCTGCACTTCCCCTAGTGCCACGTTACTCTCGATGAATCGTAGCGGACTCGATATCTTCGGGCTTGAGCGTACACGGCGTCGTCGGCCCCTGGGAGTGACAGGAATAGTGCATCGTCGTCGGAACACCTGAATACGGGGCCTTACGAAGCTATTCACCCAGCGTTTGATCAGCAACTCCTACCGTGTCGAGATCAGCATCATCTCCGTCATCCCGCTCCTCCTCCTCATCATCACCAAATCTATCGAATAGCTCTGCCGATCCTGCAGGACCTGAATAGGAGAATAGCGGCCAACGCTTAGTGTGGATTTACCTCTATGTCTGGCCACGAGCTCCCGTGGTACCCAGCGCAGTCTGGCTCCACCCTGTTCGCAGATCCTTGTCCTCTCTCCATCCTCTTCCAAGTAGAAGCACTCGATACGCCCGGCTCGTGGGCTGTTGAATATTCGACGCCTCCGAGGATCCTCCCAAGGCGGGGTCGTCCCAATCGGCGGTATGTAGACATCTCCGACCTGCCACCAAGGCGCCTCCTTATAATAGCGAAGGCTACCTTTACCTCCGCATCCAGTTGGCTCTCGATAACCTCCTCGCCATCCCCTACTGAGCTCATCTGATCAGCATCACCACCATCACTATAGGGATCCTCATGTGACCTACTTCCTCGAAGCCGCTATCAAGTTCTTCAGGGGTAAGGTCCTCCACGCCCCCCTGGACATCACCAACTCCATCGCTTTCACGCGTCGCCTCTCCGCGTGGAGTCTCCCCCTCCTCCTCCGACCCATCAAAGAGGCCCGTCTTCCCTCCCTCCACAGCCTCGCCCCTCGATGACCCCTGGACAGGTCTCAGATAAGGTGGCGTCACTTGGGGGTCTGTAGTGGCCGGGGTAGTAGTCGAGCTAGGCAACGGCTCGGCAGGTGTCGTAGCAACAGGCGACCCACTCTGAATAGGAACAACTCCTTAATGTGACCTCCAGCGGGAGGCGTCTTACCTGAGGTCCTCTAGATGGATTTTCTTCTGTTACATCGCCACTTCCTCCCGCATACCCCTGAGGACACAGCGAGTCCTCACAGCTGTCCCTCAGCTAGTTCAACTCACTCTGTAGAGGATCTGCCCCCTCGCCTCCCCGTGTATCGCTACGCATTCCGCCAGAGTCATGTCGCTGCCTATGCCCTCCTCCTCGACGGCCTTCCGACTGCCCAAAGCCGTCAGTAGTGCCCCGACGTGCCCTTCTAGGAAGCAGCTCATTGGACCCACGATAAGCCTAGTACTATCCAGAGAAGCCCACGACTTGTGAACCCAACAACACAGACCAGCAACAAGATACCGTACCATGCTCAACCGTAAAAGCTGGGTATGCAGTCCTGGGAGTTGAGAGCTCTCGCCGAGCTCAAGCCCCGCTGTCTGCGCTTGAAAGTCGACTTGGTAGCCCGACATAGCCTCTCAAAGTCCTCCTCCCTCTGAGGGTCTGCGTACAAGATGGGTGGAAAAACAAACGTCGCACAAAGTCGCAGAGACCTGCAGTTTCCAAATTGTGGACTGGGCTACCTTCTGTACGACAGATCTCTCGCTCGGCGGTGAGGATGTCGCCAACCTGACCCCACTAGATAGGATAGGTGGTGTAATCGACTTACAGTTGAGACCTTGAGGTCCTCATAGTTCTTGCTAACTCTCAATCCACTGCCCCGTGGGGGGTCTACATGACCATCCAGTGCGAGCTCGCCGAGGGGAACGGGTTCACCTTTCTGACTGGGTACGAGGCCAATGCCCAGGTGATCGTCACCACCCTCCCCTTGCGGCCTCGGAGTCCTCCGACTACCACAGACGGCTGAGTCATCGAGAGGAAGTAACTGTGCAGTGAAGGCTCCTCAGCGCCTGGCGCTGGGTGTCTCACGAAAGGGTTAACTGTTCTCGATGTCCTCGGCTGAAGCATTCTGGCTATAGCCCGAGGACCAACCCGCTGCTGGTCGGACGTTTTCACGCCTTCTCCTGAATATGCTGCGAGGTGGTTCACCCGAAGGAAGGGTGGCTTACCAGTGATGGGGTTTCTCAGGTGGTGACCATGTGGGGACTCCTCGAGGTTTCCATCCGCGCCGTGCTGCAACCTCCTCCCAGGTCGGAAATCAGCACCGTAGCTGTTAACAACAGTGTGAGAAGGCACGGTCGGGCGACACCGACCTATGAGGTCTCGACTCCGGCTTGTCGTGGTAGTAGCGTAGAGGGTCTCGGTCTCTTGTAGCACGACTGGGGCTCCGGAAATCTGCGAGAGGCAGCACAAACAAAGCGAAAGATCTCCACCCAAGCTGAGTAAGGAGCTCACTGCAGGAATCATCAAGGGGAATGATATGGGCTGAGGCCCCAGCGATTCCTCGCCGCTCCACAGCTCTACGTAACCCCCGGTCACGATGTGGCCATTGCGTCGACTGGCTCGTTGAGCTCGCATGATACCCCTGAATATGGCCAGGCACCAGCGCTTAGATGAGCGCCATTACTGGGACGTGTTTCCTCAGCGTCCTGGGGGAAGACTCCTCGCCAGTTTCGGTGAGGAAGTGGATGTTGCTGCCTTTCGAGCCGTACAAGCTGCTCGTTGAAGGCGATAGTAACGAAGGGTCATCCTGTGTCGGGAGGGTGGCCATCAGCCTATGGCTCGCTATAGGGACCATGGAGGTGAACAACACAACATCCTCACAGGAAGGATACAACAGTAGTGTGCGGGGGTCAGAACAAACATGCTGGCTCGCCTCCCTCTCCCATAGACAAGCTCCGTGCCTGGGAAATAACAACAGGGGGGCTGCTAGCTACATTCGCCTTACGCGTCGCCAGACTCTGGGGAGCCGGATAATACATTCCCTGACATATACAAACATTAGAGCTTCCTCGGAGGCACCGTAGTAATGCCGACCATGGTCGTGGTACTGGGGCGCCATGTTGGGTAACTGAGTGAAGTCGGCGGCACATTTATTCAACAGCGATTGATGCCACGAGACCTTGATTGGGCCCATGAAAGGATTCACTCCCATTGCTCCTCCTCCTCCTCCGCCGCCACCACATCCACCTCCACTAGGAATGATGAAGATACTCGGCGCTGAAGCAAAGTTCGACACTCTCCCAGTCATGCAACGCTTACGATGGTGGTCATGATGATGGTGACGGGAACCGAAGACTGTTGGTGTTGTGATATGGTGGTCATGCAGTAGATGATGCAGAGGCATGCTACATCCACAAGACTAGTCAACACACAGCTCAGGCTCATTTGAGTGGACACAGAAAGAGTGTTACACACTGAAGGAAAACACTATAATGGTCATATAAAAGTCGATGAGAGTGTATATCTTTGTGTTGAGTTCGTGGTTACTCCAATACAGGGAAGCTCTAGTGCTAGGGTACCCCCCAACCCGAACTGCGCCATCCGTGTAGCAAACGGTGCGAGATCGAGAGGGACCTGCGAGGATGGTGACTCATAGTTGGAGAATGTATGGTCACTTTCATGAGAGGAGGCGAGAGATATGCGAAGTTTTCAGTGAGGAAGCTGCCGCCCGGCCCGCCGCCAGGGCCACTCGGAATCACGTAAAACGCATCCCGACCTGAAACCAGTCTAGCGGCAAATAGCTGTGACGTGCTGGCCACTGACTAGTTTGATAAGGCCAATCCCCATGGTACTTGTGCCACTTGAATCGGTACCCTGACAACCCGGCGATCACAGCAAGGGAATCTTTGACCCCTAAAGGAACATGTTACGTCTATTCATTCGAAGCTTTCTGCGATGCTTATGAGCTTTGAGGAATGAAGGGCCAAGATTGCGGTCGGCCTGGTGATCATGATGATGATGGTGAACCTGACGTGGTTCTCACGCGTGGTCCCGGAGCAGTGGTGCTACCCTTCCCTGAATAGCGTGATGAAGGTGTATGGGAGGGATCGGCATGCTAATGTGGTGCTATCACACTGGGAGGGTTGTGTGTGCTCCGAGGTCGTTACGATTCCCATCCCAGGGTGCTGATCGGATCTTAGACCCCTTCACTGCTCAATGACAAGTGTAGTATCGATAGATTTATACCCTTATAAATATACCCTTGTGTGTATATTATTATGATAGCGGCAAAGTACTTTTTTCCCGAGCAGCACTCCTTTTCACCAGACAGATAGCCAGTATAGGAGTAAAGGATACTCAGCAGTATAGGAGCAGGCAAACTACTGCAGCATATTAGCTCGACGCTACATACACAGCTACATCATAATAGTTTTACTTCCCATTATGCAAATCCTTCGAATCCAGCACAACAATGAGACGTCTCGGCTACACTGATAAGAACCGATTGCCACACGTATAACAAAAGGACAACTGTTGTCGACTCCTACATGGAGACCTCTTCAGCCGCAGCTTACCGGCTCAGTCCTCTCTCGAAAGGTGGGATTTGAAACTGTCACGAAACTTATACTGAGAGTGGGAAAAATACAATATCAAACAAGAACGATGAACAGTAACTGCCTGGGACAGTTCTCGTATTGACATTGTCAATTTGACAACACTCCCACTCATACGGTCGCTGTGACATAGCACATGCATGGCGTTAACACACTGTTCACATTGTTCACTGTTCACACTATCACATGCAGACGCTGATAACTAGGCTGATGAAGGTCACTACACACAATGGTCCCCCCAAAGTATTCAACCGAAAAGTTTCGACCACGGAAGGTTTCCTGACGAGAAGGAAGAACATTCAAAGACTCTCGCTATATCGGGTCCTCGATCGTTACAAGTTCATTGAAGTTCTCCAAGACCTTACAGTCTGCCACGGCATGAGTTATGTTCCGAAGGATGTCAGCCACCTCGGTTACAGGTGCCTCATAATACGGTCATCCAGGACGGCCCGGCCCATTGACGAGAGTTCGTTTGGTATATGTACATCCCCACACAGGTGGTGAGTAACAACAACACAGCGAAAAGTAGCTTGAAAACCAATGACATTTGGACATCAACGACGGTCACCACATCGTTCCCGTAGTTTCAAATTTGCATTCGACTAAGTATTTGCACCTTATCTGCGAGACATCATAAACAACATATTCATTGTAAAGGAGGGAGCCGTTGGCCCTATGAGCTGGGTTCTTCACTGGCTTGCCTCGAGGCACCTACAACGACTTGTGACAACCGAGGGCATCGATTCGACTCACGATGCAACCATCAGGAGTGATGTAGTTACTTGCAGGATCTGGGCAAGTACCACCGATACCTTTGGTACTGCGGTACGTCTTTGGAAGCTTCTTACCTGTACATCCGATGACGGCGCAGCGGTTGGAGGAATATATGATCGTTTCCCTCAGCCCAGCTCAGGGAATCGGGTAAGAGTGTACAGAAACGAATAACAATTTTCCAAATTTTCCTCAGAAATTCCATATTGTCACCAACACATGTAAATGACCATGAACATATTCTCCCACACTGGGGATGAGAGTTGAGACTGACCTTGGAATCCCTGGGGTGGTTTGTCTTGGCCATCGCCGTACACGAAGAGTGCCTCGTGGAGCTCCAACCTACGACGAGAATATAGAACGCGAATAACTGTGATTCCTTACGATTTCCCCAACGCCACTTCACATAGCATCAATAACCCAGTCTCAGCGCTTAGCGAAGCGAAGCAGTAGTTGGCACTCTTGGAGACCATATCAGCAAAGTACACTCCTTTGCCAAACATGTAACCCGTGACGGGCGCTTGTGGTGGGGCTATACGCAGTCCCTGAGTGAACCAAAATAGAAAATGGTATGAGCCTCTTCCGGCCGAGTGACCTCGGGTAGGATGCCAGCCCAGTTGGTCATCCTCGAACCGTGCCATAGTAGCATCCTATTGGGTTCTTTCGAGTAGGGCTCGAACCTCTCATTCTCTCCAAACCGATCAACTCGGAAGCAGTTAATGAGATGCAGCTTGTACGTAGTATGCGTTGGCCCGTGGGTATTAACAACGTATCTAGAAATTCAACTTCACCACCACCACCGACGGTGACCCAAGGTCCCTCAGGAAATAAACTACAGGCGAAAACTCACGGTCGGAAGGAATCGAATGCTTACGACTAGATCTTCCATATCAAGTGATCTCTCCCATGCTTCAATAGAAACAAGATGGCTCACGGAGAAATTTTCTACAAGGCTCTTAGAGGCTCAGACGATGTTCATTGTGATTACTATAGGTGGCGCACTTACTCCTCGATGAGTTGAAATTCCAACGAGGCCCGATCGACCATGCTGAGTCCACACTTCAGCTGATTGTATTTGGCTCGGATTGGATCACCACCCTTCACACTCGGGGCGGAGACAACGCTGTAAGAGAGCTCCAAGTCCATGAGGCTCTGAACCAGCTCAACCTAGAACCAACAGCTCCTAGGAGGCCCGACACGCCACCAGCACTAACCTTTTGATCGATGATATGCTCATTGTCAAGTACTGGCAGAGGCACACCCGGTGGAATGCTATGTGGCACCATAGTATAAAAGCGGTTGGTCAAGTCGGCTAATATAAGATTCCGTGGCCCACCTGATACATCAACTCCAACGCCCCCACAACACACTGAATGAGCCCTACGAGGTTGCATCAACTCCACTTGCAAGTCCTGTAGGACGCTGAATGCCGCAGTGAGGCCCTTCCGTGATATCCGACCCAAAGGCATCCTATCCGGATCAATGTCAAGATCTCGAAGCTCCTGCTCCATAGCATCGATGTCGCAAATAAGTGCGACCAGATTAGCAATAGCCTTCGGGAGGGTCGAACCATCCGTAAGACCTGGCACCAGCTGCTGACCCTCATACAGGCCCCGAGCACCTACTTTTACGGCGAGCCAATGAGAGAGGACTAGAGCTACCATCACTAGGCGCCTTCTCAATTTTGGTATCCAGTCGGAACGCCTTGCCAGGATGCATTTCAAAAGGCAGCAGACCGGCGGCAACCTCATGAAAGGGATTCCCTGTCTTCTCCTCAAATAGCCTACCAGGGAACCATGGACCTCAGCGGACCATGCAAGGCCAAGCGTAGTTATTCCAATTTTCCACTACTTTTAACTATTGTTAAATTCATCAATTCCACTTGAAAGAAATTTGAAATTTCATTTCCGAGCGGTCTACGAAAACCAAACTTCAAATTTCGAAATTCGAATTTGAACTTTCATTCCTCCTACTAAAATCAAATTTCATTTTACGTAATTCGTTCTTTCACTTGCTGAATTTGAGATTGAAAAAGTGTAGTTGCGAACAGTTCATATACGCCCCATGCAACAGAGCATATCATCTGACCCTTCGAAAGCAGAGATAGCATTCTTCTTATCAGCCATCTTCTCACGCTTCTCTCCACCAATAGCATCATTTCCCGTACGCCCCCACTTCCTGAAGTGACCACCACTACTGCACGACAGATCTCGGCGGCCTCGACAGACCTGTGGATCCAATAGCCAGTGCCTTGATCGGCCTCGTAAAGCTCCATAATGTAATAGCTGTTCGTACCAGATGCTGCCTCCGTCCTCGAGAGGGTCTCACTATAGACCACCTACAGAATCAGCCCAAATGCTTCCAAAGGCGAATCGATCAGCTCACGTTGCCATCAACGAGAATGTGTGCTTTCTCAGCGAGCTCCTCGTCGTGTACGACCACACCATTTTTCACCTACAAACGCTGCATCCTTACCACAGATCAGCACAGTGGTTTCCCAATATTCATATTATTATTATTATCATTAGCGCGTTAGTTTCAGATTACGAAACCATTCAGTGAAGTCAACGGTGCACGTTACTCTCAACTTCTCCTTCCCACTCGACTTTGAGTATTTCGACAAGCGACTGGGCGTGGAAGCCACACTCTTCCGGCCTGCACTTTGACCGAGGAAGCCAGACGTCTCTGAGAACGCAATGAGGGCCTCGAAAATATGAACAACTACCTTCAGGATGGCATAGATATCCTTGCATCGGCAAGGTTTCCTTCCGGTCCAAGCAGTCCAGGACGAACGCCTCATTCACCACAGGAAGCCTCGAGCGCCGTGCTTTAGCGTATATGTCCGCTTGCTTCTCGAGCTCCGCTACAGTGGATATAACCAAGTTAACCTATGGAAAGACAGCCCCCAGCCTTGAGTGAAATTCCCGGGGTTTAACGACTCACTCTTCCATCAACCTTGTCTCGCAGATTGCCACCACCCTCAGAGATCATTTGTTTCAGCTGAGGTCGAGTGTGGCTCAACCGGCCAATCGCCCCGATTATCATACCTACGACATACGATAGGTCCCCGGTTCGATCCCGGCATGATACCTTTTAAAGGCGTATTAGTCCTATCACCCACACGATTCCATTCAGCAGGTTGAACCTCGTCCTGGCCACCTGCAGACTCCCGCTTGGCCGCCCTTGATTTCTCCATAGTTGCGAAAAGTCGATCACCTACGGACCACTCGCATTGCAACAATACAGCCTCCAACCCACCTATTGAGGGCGTCAACTGCGACAGCTCTGGGTGCAGCATAAGGGTGTCCTCTGTGAACCGCCAGAGGCTCCGGCCCGGCTTCCTCGTGGTCTCAGTGCACTTGGTATATGCGCTTATCCAACCACTGCATTCATAGTTCTCACCGTGTAACCTAAAAGGAATGGCGATCAACCGAATCAGAGCCCCTTCCTATGCTTCCTTATTCTAACAGTAGGCAAAGGCACAGGAGCTCCACGAACCACCAGCAGTTACGATCCGCTCTACTCAGGTCGTCACGAGTCTGTGAGAGACCACCCCCCTCCATTGGCCTCACCTGAAGCGCCCACTGTTACACGTAGGACATCGATCTGGTATACCGAAGAGGACGCAGTCAGCCACTATCTGCCGCAGATCATCCTCCCCTCCCTTCTTCATCCAGTAACCATTAGCCT